GCATCTCCTAAACAATTGATTTGAACCACTGTTTAGAGGGTTTTGTTTTCAACTGATTTCCTGGCCATTAGAATACAATACTTTTCTCAACATTTACTATCAATAATTAATGAAAACCACAGTTTTTTGTATTATAAATGGTGGGCATTATATTAACTTAATTTTGGAGGAAATCATGAGAAATTTAGTGCTATTTTCTTTATTTTATTATTATGTTTAGGATTATAATTTGTATTCTCTCACAAATGAATTAGATTTGTTTTAGTGAAAGTATATTTATATTGTAGTTTAAAATTTAAACATAATGATAGTTAATTTTATCTTAACTTGAACTATTGTATAACATCACTTTGTTAACTTATCTGTATGATAATTATGATTATTATTAGAATAAATATTAAAATTATCATATTATATTTCATTATTAATATTAGTCACAACATTATTAAGTTATTTGATCTATAATTGTAAATACGGTAATTCTTACATTAAATTTATCAAGTGTAATACATTAAATAAAACTTACTTGGTGTAATTGAATATTTTTATCCACTAATTAAAGTGAAAGAATTAATTATATAAAACATTTTCTACTAAAATATTTTTAGGGCATTTATATTTCACATTTTATAATTTATTGTGAAATCTAATATTTAAATATAAAGAAATAAGCACTTAAACATTTTTGATTAAAAAAGTACATTTTGAGATGAATTTATAAACAACAATTTAATATAATTAAAATGATTCATCTCCGGTTACTTTTCTATAATTATTTATTATAAATTATGGTACATTATAACTTAAAATGTAACTTTTTCAATCAAAATAATTATTATCTTGTGAAATTTTTTACAGCAATGTCAATCATTACTAGACAATATCTGACAGAAATTATTAGTTAACTGTTGCAAATGAATTTTATAACACAAACACGCTGTTTAAAAATTTGTTTATTTATTTTATATTTTCACAAAATTAGATATTAAACATTGAGATAAAATATTAAAGTTCTGTAAAAATTAAAACAAAAAACATTAAATAATTTAAATATAATACATAAATCAGTAAAACAAAAATAATAATTTAAAACTTTCCCTATTACTAAAATACTATTTTAAATTAATTTATTTCAACACTATTTTTATTTATGTCTAACCTTTGCTGTAAATATATTTTATTAAGCGATTTGTAAATTAGATATAACATCATTATATAAGTAATAACACTGATCGCAATGCACGCCGAGTTAAAATAGACTAAAATCATGGGATAATTTTGGATATAGGATCCAATTATTATAGGGGACGTCCCACCTATGACACCCACCGAAAATATTAATATTGAACCAATTTTTTCAGTTATTATAATATATTGGTCTATAAATGACAACATTAGCGCCCACATCGCCGACAATCCTATACCTATACAGCCATTAAATGACAATTTAATGATAAGCTATAAAATAAAAACGTTGCTAAAATAATTACCTAGCAATACGTTACCGGCAAATATCAATACCATAGAGTTTTGCGCGAATAACAGTATAATAATGCCGATTAGTATTACGCAATAGTGATACGTAATCATTGTCTCGGGCTTTAATCGGATGGCAATGAATATGGAGATACCGCGGCCTAACGTGAAACACGAGGCCATCACCGATAAGATTAGGGCCGCTTTGGGCGCACACAGACGTAACGGTATGTACTGATTGAATGTGGACGAGAACTGAAAGTGACAGTTCTCTATAGCTGTGAATGAGGCAAAACATATGGCGCATAGGGTGATGATAGACTTGATGGGCGCCCCGGTATCCGAGCACAGTTTTACGCGATTATCGCCACCACTCGCCGCCTCTTTCTCGAGGTCTCTGTCAGTGTCTTTGACGTCCGCGTCAACCGGTTCCGGCTTCTCGTACTTCTTAATCAGATACATGATTAGCATGAATATGGCGCCCAATAGCTGCGTGCCGCCGATGATGGCGAATGGTGTGCCCAACGCTGAGTGCCTTTCCACGAGTTCGTCGTCCGAGTCGTGGCCGCCGGCGCCCTGAGTGTCGCCCACGATGTATGGCTTGTCGATGAGTGGGCCGACTATACTGCCGATGCCGAACGCAAACTGCGATAATTGCAGGATTGGACCGCTTTTCTGTTGCCACATCTCGATGATCCACACGTTGAAAGTGCTGTCCCACGAGCCCCCGCCCACCCCGATGATGAACCCGCACCCGTACAGTACATATAGTGAGGACCGGGGTATGAATATTAGCGATACGCCTAATAGTATTAACAAGACTACTGTCCTAATCTGTCGGTTAAATTTCTTGTATACAAATCCACCTTAAATTCAGAGATTAAATATATTTTTTTCGAGCGATTCATGAATTATTCATTCATTCATAATATATCTTAAAAATGTTGAAAATTTATTTTAATATAGCGAATGAGTGGTAAGTATTGTAGTGATACTCACAGAGACTTCCGATTATATATCCAACAGAGTTGACTGAGTTGTAGTAAAAGACAACTTTGACGTCCGTTTGTTTGAATATATTCTTGAGGTCCACCAGACAGGGACCCACTGACGTACAGGTGATGCCAAATGCCAACTGAATGTAGCACATACAGAGTTGACTGAGTTGTAGTAAAAGACAACTTTGACGTCCGTTTGTTTGAATATATTCTTGAGGTCCACCAGACAGGGACCCACTGACGTACAGGTGATGCCAAATGCCAACTGAATGTAGCACATGATAATAGTGTAGAGTATTTTGTCCCAGTTTGCCTTGATATTCATATTAGTCCACATTTGGTGTATCCTATCCATCAGTGAATTCATTTGGTATTTGATGAGTTAAATCAGAAATAAATCAATTACTAATCAAAATATTTTTTCACACAAATTAAATAGCAATAAATCTTTATTAAACTATTGATAAAAAGAATACATGGGTTTCTTAAACTATAATAATTCATACAAAAGCAGTGAAACGTACAGTAAATTTTATCATAAATACTTTCGTGTTATCAGTTAATGTATGTTTAAATTTTTATAACTACAGTTAATTTGTCAATAAAGACTGGCCTTATGTGCGATTATCTCTATTAGAAGTCAAGTTTGCATTTTTATAATACATTAATCAGATGCTGATCTCAATTTGATGCATACAGACAATGATGAAATGATAAGGAGTTAATAATTATGTATGAATGAAATTAAATTTGAAAAACTTTAGAGCTACTGTTAATGGGTAATATTGAAGTCATTTTACCCTCACCTTGATTATAGTACAGTATTAATAAGTGTATTTACACTGAGTACCGTACAGTGCTAATAACTTTTATATCTACAGTACGATTTGGCATCTGTTTCAGTTGGTCTTTCAGTACTTATGATAATTCGTAAGAATTTGATTAAAAAACAATTGAACAAGTAAGATTATATTTGATTAGTCATGGTATGGCATACTCGTGCTTTTAAAACTGTACAAACTGTAACAGATTAAGCATTTTGTATTCTTATATCATATGATAATTACATATAAGAACAGGTTAGAAATACTCAAAAGTCTTAAAGTACTTACTTGCTCAAATTAAACTTATATTATCAACTTATTATAATGGCAATAGACTCTAAATTTGAGACTAAATGATTTATTGGCGTAATTTATTAGAAAATTTTAAAAAATATGAATTTAAATTCAATATCAAGGCTATAATCATAAATCAATTTATTAAAACCGATTATTGTTGAATTGATTTGATTTAAATTATTGTCCCACCTGGGTATAACTCATTCATTTAATTTGACTATACTGTACTCTGTATTTATTTATATTTATTAAATCATTCATTATTTTTTAGGCATATGTTAAATTATTCTATATTATCGTGTATTTAGTAATTCTGAATCACAGCTAACACTGTGTTTAGCGTGAAATTAAATTAAACGTAACAATTTTATGTCATATTTACACAATAATCCTAACGTAAATAAGCTGCTAAATACATGTTAAAATTTATCAGTGTTTTATAATTTTTAATTAATACTACATTGATGATTTAAATAGTAAATTAATAAAAATACTAAATAGTAAACTATAAGTCATATATAGTGGCACTGTTTTCATTTTATTATAAAATTATAACGAATAGAGATATTTGAGTCAAATTTGATGGATATGTAAATAGTATAGTATTGAATCATTTCTTGTGTCTAATTGGTTGATACGGCCCATTGGTTCCGATATCTTTAAGAACTCTTCGGATACCTGCCATCAAAGTCTGTGCACTCTTTTCTGCGACAGAAAAACTAATTTTTCTCCAAATTCTTGTGAATTGTTTAGTTGTTTTAGATGTGATGGATGTCTTAGAGTAAGCCTTTTACAAATAGCCCAAAACTTTTCAATAGGTCTGGCCTGTGGGCAGTTAGATGGGTTATGGTCTTTGGGTACAAATGCAATGTTATTGCTGTTTAAGGCTATAATTCACAAAATTCTTATAGAAATGCACAACTTTTTCTGCTATGACTTGTCTTTAAAACCTATTCATTGCCATATAATTGATAATTAAGACATAAATTGGGATCAATTCTTGAAGTTCAATAAAAAAGCTATAAATCGACCCGAATTCCGGTAACAATTGCGCGGTATATACGGCGCGAGACGACCCCCAAAACCGTGCCATTATATATGACTTAAACTATATTATTATCTCAATAATGCTTCGTAATAACATTATGCTTAACAAGAGGTGTTAAAAATAACAATTAGATTAAAAATCAAAAACAAAATGTATTCAAACAATATATTTGCCATTAAAGTTAGATATAATTAAAATAAAATTAAGCAAATATTAGCTAGACAATTAGTAATCATCAATTACAGAACGTTTTCTAATAGCAATAATAACATTAAATGCTATAAAAATAGATAAAACAAAAATCGTCAAGATAAAATTCATATAAATGAGAGCCAATGGCTGAGCGGCAATAAATTGTCCGCAAATCGTGGGAAATATAGCGGTACATAAGCCATCAATACTAATGAATACACCGGCGGTTGTGTTGCTTAAAGTGAGCTGCGATTCAAAGAAAGAGTAAACCGATGGATAGACTGTTGAGAAACCGATTCCCATAATAATAAGTCCGGCCATTAATACCCCCTCAGAGTAGTGATAGTATTCATACAAAAATAAAAATATATTTGATATGAATATCAGTATTAGATTGACGTATATGTAGTTTTTAGTCCAATACTTTATCGCCACAACAAAGTTAATTAAACGAAAAATGGCAAACATCCCGGTCAGTATAGCTAGTAAATTTGAGCTCCGGGAGTCGGATATGTTTTGGTACGACTTCTCGAGAAATGTGGGAATTAGCTGGAAGTTCATGAGCTCCAGTCCCACGTACGGTCCGATAATAAATACTCCGAGTAATATGTATATGAGTTCCCATTTCTTTGGAAATTCAAATTTGATTGCTTTCTGTGGACTTTTAGGCGGAATGTATGGCCGATAACAGTAGAGAAGTAATAACAGAATCGCTGATACTATAAGAAAAACGCCGTTTATAGCAAAGGGAACTTCCAGTCGGGACACATTGATTATGCTGGAAGTATATGTCTGATTGGTCGGTGTATTTGTGAGATAATTGGCCTCCATTAAGGGTGCAATACAAACACCGGCGGCAAAGAAAAACTGATAGCCACCTAAATATAAACTCGATTTATTGCCCCACATTTCCACTAACCAAACTACTAGTGCCGTGTCTACACCTAATTTTGCAATTGCTAGTTAATTATCATTTGAAAAATTATTTTGTAATAACTTATGTATAATATTTACGAAGGAATACCTCCACAACCGTACCCACATATCCCCGCCATAGCGAATAATACGGCTATATTTGGACAGACAGGTAGGACAGCGACGGTTATGGCCATAATTATCATAAGACACGCCAAAACCAACTGACGGTTTATGTAATTATATATAATTCCGTCTTTTTTGATAATAAAAATTATAGATTATGTGGAATATTAAAATAACATAAAAAACAATAGTTGGAAATTAAATCAAAATAAATTATAACACTTACTGACAATAGCACCGATAGTATAGCCAATGAAAAAGAAACAAAATTAAAAATTATAGATTATGTGGAATATTAAAATAACATAAAAAACAATGGTTGGAAATTAAATCAAAATAAATGATAACACTTACTGACAATAGCACCGATAGTATAGCCAATGAAAAAGAAACAAAATATGTATGTGATATCGCTGGTAGTTGTATTCAATTTGACTTGTAAATCATTTAAAGCCGGACCAATTATACTGATAATTAACCCCTATATTACAATTTATAAAGTGTTTTATTTGTTTATAATTTTAACTTAATAATTATAAAGACTTACGTAAGATAAGGTACAGAAAAATAAAATCCATGTAACAAGTTGCTTGTATTTGTTATCCAGTTCATGACTATTTGTACTTTCAATTTCTAATTCAAATGTAGAGCTAGTATTAATATCTTCCGACATAAGTATTGATAATATTTATAACTTTCTGTATTAATTAGTAAAATATAATAACGTATCAAGTAAAATCATGTTCGCATATTTAATGTCATTTAAAGATAAAA